CTGCTGACATGGGGTCTGCGAGACTGCGAGCAACTTGTTTTGACACGTAACTCAAACAGCTGTTTACATGAGGATGTCGCGTGTTCAGTACCTTTCTGAAAGTCAGTCTAGCTGAATGTGTGAAAGCGACAGCATCTGCTTATTTTCGGTTTTTGAGTTATAGGTTATCCAGAGTCTGAGCGACTTCATGTCACCTTATAGGTAATTATATAGTTAGAAAAGTACAAATAATAAGTGCAAATTGACTATGGCTAGTTCACGAAAATCCGTTAATGTGCTTGATCAGAATTTTGAGGAAGTTTGTATGAAGTGGTATGATGAACTAGGAAGTGATGTAAGCGATACTGAGGATGAGGAAACATGCATACCAAGTGACCATGACACAGAAAGCGAGCAGGAAGAAAATGAGGAAAATGAAACACAAATAGAAGAAAGCGGACCAGCAGAAGAACAAGAAATTGAACCGGATATTGACCGGGAAGTAGTGTCGGAAAAAGAAGAAATATTTGAATATAGAAACCAACGGAATACAAAACAATACAAAACAAAATATTTTTACGGGAAAAAAAAATTTAAATGGTGTAAAGTAGAGCCGGCAAGAAATGTAAGAACTGCCCAACATAACATTGTACGTATTCCAAAAATTCGACCCAACATACAAAATATCAATAATCCATTAAATTATTTTGAGCAACTTTTCTCCGAAGATATGTGTAATCTAATAATAATCTGGACAAACAAAAAATTAGCAAACATGAGAGGAAAATATAAAAGAATCAATAAACCTGAACTAGCAGATATAGATAGAGTGGAACTAAATGCATTTTTGGGATTACTGCTCTACACTTCAATATATAAGTCTAACCATGAAGATGTACGTAGTCTATTTGCTTCAAATGGCAAAGGAAGGGATATTTTTAGAGCTGTTATGTCACTGCAGCGTTTTTTGACTATACTAATTGCTCTTCGATTTGACAATAATGAAGACAGAAATGAGAGAAGAGCTGTTTATGCTGGAGCGTCTATACAAGAATTTTTTGAAATGTTTGTGAGGAACGCACAAAATTCTTATTCAGTCGGTATGTCAGCATGTATTGATGAGATGCTTGTTGGGTTTCGAGAAAAATGTTCCTTCAAAATGTATATACCCAACAAACCATGTAAATATGGCTTAAAGATTATGTGCCTAACTGATGCCCGAACAAGTTACCTATATAACGCATATATTTACGTTGGGAAAAATTCCGACACTTTTGGTCTAGATAACGAAGAAAAAAAATTATCAAAACCATCTCAAGCTGTAATCCGCCTTGCAAAACCTATATATGGCTCTAACAGAAATGTCACTGCTGACAACTGGTTTACATCTGTGGAATTGACCCACTACTTGTTGAAAAAGAAAATAACATACGTTGGCACAATGAAAAAAAATAAAACAAATATCCGCTGAATTTCTTCCACAAAGACAGAGGCCAGTAGGTGATACATTATATGGATTTACAAAGGATGTTACTCTTTTATCTCATGTGCCTAAAAGAGGCAAAGCCGTTATAGTCATCTCATCAATGCATCACAGTAAAGGAGTTGATCTAGACAGCGGAAAGCCAGAAATAATTGCTTGGTATAGTCTCACCAAAGGTGGAGTAGATTCTATGGATGAGAAGTGTGCTAAGTATAGTTGCAGCCGAAGAACGCGAAGATGGCCGTTGGCTATATTCTATAAGGTAGCCGATATTTGCAGCGCAAATTCTTTTATCATGTATGGATCTCATACTCAAAATAATAGTAGTAGATTGTCTTTCGTGGAAGAATTAGCAGATGCATTGGTGAAACCTCACATGGTTAGACGATTACAAACTAAAAATCTAAGTAACGATGTGCGTGGTATTATCCATCGAATTCAGAAAATTCCTGAGCCAGTTCAAATAGAAGATAGACTGGAAACTCGAAAATACTGTTATATTTGCCCACCAAAAATAAAAAGAAAGACTGCTTTTTTGTGTTTCCAGTGCAAAAAAACGATTTGCCTGCAGTGCTCAAAGAAATGTTGCTTTGCATGTTGCAACCGAGACTTAAAATAATCACCTGACTTTACATGCCACCATTTTTATTTTTTTTTTTGTTGAACTTAGAACTGTACCTTTTTTACTTCTTTGTTTATGTTTATTTGACATAGTTTCAAGCATGACATGTTGGAATTATTTTTATTTTGTTCATAATTTCGTTATTTATGAGAATGTGCCATTATTATTTGACTTTGAGGTTATGTGGAATTAATATTTTTGTAAATTTCTTTCAAGATTTCTATGAATAAATATTGTTTAGAAAAGAGTTGAACTTGTTAATTTTATCTGCACAAAATTTAATTTTTACGATAAATTAGAAAAATTACATTTTTAATATAGGAGTCTCTCAGACTCCATGTCACCTTAAGTGATTGAAATTTAGATGTCAGCAGTTAAGGGTTAAAGAAGTTGTTTATATCTGATATCATAAAAAATACAGTCTACAAATAAAAAGGGTATTTCATTAACTTTACAGTGAGCATATGTATTGTTATGTTTTATTGATTTGGAAATTTTGAATATATTTTTATCGGTACCGGGACACAAAAGTATCGAATAAATACAAAGTTTGATAGTAGATATATTTAAAATAGTCACTGGCATTATGTGTACTACGATAATAGACTTAAATGAAAGATGTATATAGATAATATAAGTATAAAAATTTGTAAATAATTCAAATTTCACGACAAAACGTCAAGACTGTCAAAGTTATAACTAAATTTGAATTTGCATATTCAATAAACTACGTAAATGCACTCATGTTGTACAATTATGTTGCAAATAACATTAAAGAACAATGTTACAATGTTAAAAGTCAATTATAAGTACATTATGTTGCAAATAATATTAAAGAACAATGTTACAATGTTAAAAGTCAATTATAAGTACTGGCATGAGGACATTTCATCATCATAATGAAATTTTGACAAGACGTTGACGTTAGATGAAGGTATTTCACATATATTTCCAATTCATGCAATAAAACTGGTATGTAAATGAAGCATAGTGTAAACTACAAAATACTACTAAAATACATTTTTGTAACTAAATGTATTTTATTAAATTATTGAATAATTTTTATAAACAAAAAAATCGTTTGTGAAATTTACCAACGATTCAACGAATTTTAATTTTCCTCGCCGTGTTATGATTTTTTATTTATGTTTTTTTTATATATATGTACATTATATTATATTCCGAGAGTTATACGTGCAAATCCTAAATCCGGAACCATACAGCTAATTCCCGGTACAATCACAGTTTATGAGTCCACGAAACACATCAGGGTTGTCTGAATTTTCTGTCTCGTCGTGTCCCCGAAGTGCTAATTCGAAAGCTCCGCAAAATTGTATGTAATCTATGATTTTTCGTTACCTGTTCATTGTGTTTCCGTATATTATCCCAATATACAGAGTCTAACTGACTTCTTATGTTTATTTTGATTTATTTTTATTTGACCTAAAGACTTAATGACTTAAATCTTTCACACTGTATATTGTCCATGCTTCATCCCCACCGAAAAGTAAGTACGGAAAACAATACAGTTTTTTAAATCACATCCGCACACCCACTCTGCTTTTGTGTATATATTATTGTTAAATTGTCCTTTATAACTTTTACTTCGGCTTGTTCCACTAACTTCAAAATTTAATTGTGGTGTTGGCCCATCTAATTCTTTTATTTTTAGTTTATCCTCATAAGGCAGAGAACCAAATAAAGTTTTTTTTTTAATGAAACGCTATTCATTTTAATAACTATAATATCCGTAAACGCCTAAACGAAAATATACTCACGTACCGCTCGCGGAAATAAAGCACCATATACCACGTACGAAATATTACTGCATTCATTGCAGCAGTGGCTGGCACTGTTGCAGCCACGAAAGCCCCTATCTTCGTGTACTGGGTCACGTGCCTGATTAGCCAATAAAAACAAAGGACGCATGTAATTGTTCGCTGTGCACACATTTTGTATATGAGGTTGCATATATTAAGGAGCGTAGCTCGCGTCACAATAAATAATAATATAATCTCCTAGATTTATTTTAGCGCGAGTACATTTGAATTCTTTAAATATTTTGTGATATTTAATATAATTAAATACATAAAATTTTATGTGTTCTGCAGCTCCGCAGCTCTTATGGTAAAACCGCCACTGCATATCAGCGAAATTCGAAATGCTTGTAAACAGTTACCATTGGCTAGAGCATATTCCAAATATATATCGATTATTGGTATTGCTGTTAGTTTTTCATACTTACTGATAACTGGCTATTACAAAATTCCATTTTAATATCTATATTGATTTTATAAGCTGTGCTATCTCCGTATGTTGTCAAGATGTGTATCGTAATATTTTTTTTTTCAAAAAATAAAATTACGCTCACGAAAAAAATAGAAAAAATCAAATAATTTTTTAATTACTATATTGGATATAAAAAAGTTACACGCAAAATTACTTGCATGGGTTGTCACTTTTATTCATTGAAATTGAAGGAATAGATCAAAAAATTATTTAGTAAATGCCATTTGGATAGTAAGAAAACTAATTTTAGTACTTGTAGTAATAGTAATGGTAGTAATTTTATATTTGTAACGTTCCTCGTATTTAAGGGGGATAAATAGAAACGAAATTCGTTTCTCCCCATTTAGGGAGAGAGAGAGACTGTTTTACATGAAAATCCTCCCTTAATTTTCAACGAAATTTCCTTAATTTTTTCGCATATATGTATTTATTTACCTATCATACCTGTATACCATATGGATACGATCTTAGTAGTTATTTATTTTTCTGTCATCCAATAATCTTAAATTTTGTTTATTACAGGTCAGTATGGAGCGGAATCGTGTTGCCGGGCTATCAAATTCCACATATAAAGATATCTAAGAAAGGATAAACTAAAGTGACGTGGCGTAGATAAATCACCACACAATGATAGTGAATGCTATGGCTTCGTTTTCAGCAACAACTACGTCTATAAACTTACACGTTAGCATGCTGCAAAATGCCACGCTCCAAAACAAAACAAACGTCACTACAATTGAGAATCCCCATCCGGATTGGGCCGACCTTTTGCTCTTAATAGTAAAAGGTTTCATCTTCTCAACGATCATAATCAGTGCAATCCTCGGAAACGCACTGGTGATCATCAGCGTCCACCGCCACAGGAAGCTGCGGGTAATCACGAATTATTACGTAGTAAGCCTTGCCATGGCCGATATGTTGGTAGCACTGTGCGCGATGACGTTCAACGCTAGTGTGGCACTTAGCGGGAAGTGGTTGTTCGGTTACTTTATGTGCGACGTTTGGAACAGTTTGGACGTGTACTTCTCTACTGCCAGCATACTGCATCTCTGTTGCATCAGCGTGGATCGTTACTACGCCATAGTAAGGCCACTCGAATATCCCATTACCATGACTCATAAAACCGTCTCTTTCATGCTAGCCAACGTATGGATACTGCCCGCTTTAATCAGTTTCACTCCGATATTTCTCGGTTGGTACACCACAGAACAGCACAAAATCGACAGGTTGAGTAATCCTAACATGTGCGAATTTGTCGTCAACAAATATTATGCCATAATAAGTAGTTCGATAAGTTTCTGGATCCCGGGGATCGTCATGATCACCATGTATTGTAGGATATACAAGGAAGCTGTTAGGCAAAGAAAAGCTTTAACGCGAACGTCATCGAATATCATCTTAAATTCGATTCACCAGCATCGTACTTCTTACAGGGATAGGTACTGTGAGCATTACTTGCATCCATCGGATGGAGAATTGACCACGGTGGGGCAGATCAACGGAAGAAGGAGCACTAGTTCTGGATCTGCTGTGTCTTATGGCACTACAACTACTGAGTTCAATACCGCTATGAACACAAGAGATAACAGCAAAGCAGCCACCGAGTTAAATGTTAATGGTAAGTTTTCTGTTGAATGATTAAATGTAGATGTATTTACTAACATTACAGATTAATAAAATTCAAAAGATGTATTAAAGGTCCATCTTACTTTTGAAGTATATAAAATCTTGTCCAGCAGACTAATCTTTCTACGCAATTTAAAATTCTAAGTAATTTAATTAAATTTTATTATTTTATGATATATTTCTTTTTTTCGAAAAAGCCTAAAAATCTTTCTAATTTTATGTGGGAAATAATAATTATTTACATATGAGTGTTTTTGTTGCGAATTACAATTAAAATAAACAAATATTATGGAAAGTAATTAGAAATCAGCTCGGGCAACTGGCTGAATACCAATGTATTAGTTATGTTATGTAAGTTACATACTATACGATAATATTTACGTACAATGAAAAAAGAAAAAGAAAACAATAATACTTATTTTAATACATATTATAAATTGGAGTTCTAGTCAATATAAAAGTTTAAAGTTTAGCTCAAATAACTAAATATCTACAATAAACAAGAACTAAATTTGGCTTACACTTCATGACTCAGTGAGTATGACTTAAAATATATTATTTTAAGGACCACGCACACAGTTAATGGAAATCGGCAACCCGCGAAAATTGTTCGAAAATGAAATATGTTATAGTTTGAGATATCCTGATCAAAAGTAGTCACGGGCCCAAGACCCAAAAATGAATACTTATCGAGATAAACCGCACTCAAAGTGAGCGAGTCCCATAGCTCTTATACATAGACTTTTTTACGGAAAGCTATATGGCCCTTCCCTCTCTATCACTTTCTCTCTAATTGAAACAAGACGAGTTCGCATGTGGCACCTTCCTCTCAAAACAGAGAAGATTTTTGAAGGAATAAAAAAAGCAGACGTAAAGAAAAAAGCGGGCATAAAATAAAAAAACGGACGTGAAGAAAAAATTTTGTCAAGAAGCAAAAAGTTAGGAACGATGAAAGAAACAGGCTAGCACAAAGAGAAAAAGCGGGCGTAAAAAATAACCAAGCGGCTAGAAAGCAAGAGAAACGGGCGGAAAGTAAAAACATGCGTAGTATTAAATCAAGCAGGTGTCTAATAAAAGAAGCGGGATAAAAATGGCATAGGTGTTGTTAAAAAATGCAAGCACAAAGAAAAAAGTGGGCGTAAAGAATAAACAAACGGGTGGAAAATAAAGAAGCGAGCGTAAAGCGAAAAAATAGCATATAATAAAAGTAAGCGTGCAGTAAAAAGAAGCAAACGGTAAGTAAGAAAAGTAGGCGTAGAGAAAAATGCAGGCCTACAGAAGAAAGTTGGCATAAAAGCGGGCGGAATATACAAGCGGGTGTATAATAAAAGAAGCAGGACTAAAAATGGTAGACGTAATGTAAAAAATAAGCGGACAAAACAACGCAAGTGAAAAGTAAAACAAATGGGCTTAAACTAAAAAAGCATGTGTAATCTAAAAAAGTGGGCGCAAAGTAAAAAAGTGTAAAGAGACAGCTTATGATCAGGACATCTCAAAGTATAACATATCTCATTTTCAGACAATTTGACGGGTTGTCGGTCGAATGGGTCCTTTAGTATAAGCCGGCAAAATGCAATAAATTAACATCTGTTGGAACGGTATTATATAATTTATAAATATTGTGCAGTTTATGAATAGGAATATAGCGAAAGTTACTAAATACAACATAATACAACGAAATGAATATATTCTGCATAGCATTTGCTACATTTATGTCTGTTGCTGTCAATTAGTTTGTGAAATTCGCTTAACTTTCCTAATACCATAAATAAACTGAAAGTCAAATTTTAAGTTTATGTGAAAGAATATGACCACTTGTATATCTCATTTTCAAATTACGGCAAGCCCATTCAATACAAATGTGTTTTTAATGCGTTTGAAATGTAAGTCCGGGTCCAATAATCAACACAATTGAAGCTACTTTTTTACATTAACAATGTTTGCATTCGATTAATATAACAACATAACATTAAAGTCTTGTTCAATAGTATTACTGTACTTGCCGAATATGAAGATCAGAAGATTTTGTTCCATTTAGTGCGTTTAAGGCTATTTTAGCATTAATTACTTCCTTTAATTCAAAGGAAAACTAGTTTGAGTAGCAACTACATAAAAGTATGTAAAAATGTATACGCGTTACATATAATAACTAAATAAAATTGGTTCAAGGATAGAACCTAGAGATATTCATATAAGATAATACCTACAAACTGTACAAACTTCTTCAAGCTTCTACAAATTATATTTTATTATTGGGGTGATTCCAATGAATCCATTGATTAGAAAATTAACAGAAAGAGCTTGTAATTAATATTATTAAATGCTAGAAAATAATTCAAAAGCACAAGAACAGTGTTTCCCTTATCTGTAACCCTAATGAAATCATCGATTATGTTAAATTGGTCGTTATATTACTAAATCGAGGTCTAAATCCAGGTTACTGCTCTGGAAATATATTTATTTAAATGTTTAGGACTATTCTTGGCTTTTTTATAACATTTCAAAAAACGTAAAATATTTATAGGGCGTAGATTAGCATATATTGCATTTATATTTCATAGAAAATGATACAAATAGATAAATTCTAATCAGCAACCAACAAGGAGAGAGATTCCCAAAACTGGACAAACGGAGTAAGTCAGTAACAACTTTTTATAACAAATTTATTTGTTGGTGACTAGTTCCATTCTTTGTTTATGTATAACTAAGAAAATTAAGACATGTTTAGTTTAGTGTTATAGTTTATAGATATTTCTGATGTAAATTAGTGACGTTAAAGTAATTAACACAAACTTTACCACAGCGATGCGATGTTTAAAACGAAGAGGACGTTTCAAAGCGGCTATAAGTAATCCCACTTCATCCCCATATTTGTTTAACGTAGCCCCTTTTAAAGTGGACGATTGAAATGGATTAATTAGCGACCTCTAAAGGTAATCCCAGTAAATAACATAGAAAATAAAACTGTCCACCTTTCCCTTTTTACTTTGTTTGCATTTGATGGGATGTGCGTCATTTAATTCCTATTGAAAACAGAGGGTAAGCGCAATAATTCTGAATGAATTATTTACTAAAGGGTGTGAACGTATAGAAAAAAGACATAATCGTTGTATTGTTATCTGCCACATTACGATAGTTATAAGATATTTATAAAATTACCACTGACGTTTATTACTAAAGATAGCCCGTATTCAGATCAGATATTTAACGGTATACTTTCCTATTTTGTTCTCCGATACTTTAATAACAATGCGATTCTTTTTTCTATAAATGTATTTTAAAGGAGGCAAGAAAATGCATCAAATAAGGTACTTTGTAACATTGGCTGTATCAAAATAACACCGTCGAACAAAAGTGTATTGTTCACCGACTTAAAGACTATAAAGTAACTTTTGCCTGATGAAAATGTCGAGGTAAATAATGATAAAAATAAAAAATGATGTTAATGACACTATTATTAAATTAAAAAATACATCATAAAACAATACTCTTTTCAGTGACATGAAACAATGAAATTTAAATAAAGTACCATGTACAATACAATAAATTTTGCAGTTTTTATTGAATATGAGCATTTCCAAAATAATATTAGTTGGCTGAAATGTATATTTCTTTAATATTTTTATATGTTTGCTAATAATTATCTACTTCACAAAGGCATTCAGTTACTCGTAAAATTCTCCTAGTGACTGGCATGACCACCAATAGAATTAATAACGTGGATATTGTATAATGCCTCGAATTTATCTTGATGTATAATGTATATTAACTTTCAAGCAACTTTGGACAGCATTTTTTTTTGTATTGATTAAGGGGCAAATTTTTCCCTCATTTAAATAATTACTCCATCCTGGTCTCCCAGAAAAACTAATGCAAGTTTAATCCTTAGAATATTAACCGGGGCTGATGAACCTATAACCTTTTTTATGTGATTAAAGTAGAGTTCAGTGCACTTTTGTTAGACGCTGTAAGAATGGGGTGGAAATGTAATACATTTTTTATTTTTATTGAGTAATCAGGCAGAAATTTTTCAGGACTTAATGCCAAGCTCATCGTAAGACAGGACAATGCTCTTTCAGGATATTGTAATAGGATTATAGTACAGCTGATATATATTTTAAAGTCACTTCTGCTGACTTTATATATTTTTCTTGGTTGGGTTGATTGACAGTCTTAATATATTTTTAAAGATTTCTGTTTAAAATAGAAAGTTAACGATTAATTATCAAATTGGGTACAGAAGAACTAAAAAATGTTTTTTTTCCAAGGAACTAGTTAATACATTCGTTCCTACTGCTATAATTGTTTAAATCATGAAACATTCTTTATTTTTCAGTTTCTTTTTTATATTTTGGGACTTTCTTTTTTCATGAAAATCTTCAAAGTATATCAGTAATTCAGTTGGATGAATCAGGTTATAATTTTTGGAGTTCAAGTGTCACAACAGCAAAAATTAAATTTAATTCGAAAATATCACGAATCTTTTTTTAGAAAGTTTTCTAATAACAAATACGGAACAGAAAAAGGTAAATTTCAGGTTTTCTCAAAAATTTTCTATTTTACTGAAACAACTAAAATACGATATGGTAAAAAACATTCTCATTCAGTATATCCATTCATTGATTCTCTCTCCGTTATCTTAAGAGATACAAATTTGATCAAATTCAGACAAAAAGTCTGAAACAAAATGCCTATATTATTTCTTTTTGAAGTTATGGACGAAAATTGAAAAAATTTGGTTGGTATTATTTAATTATAATCAGAAACACAAATAGACGGTCTCTGACATTTTGTTGTTAGAAATTGAAATTAATTATAATCAATAAATTTGAAGTATATCTTTAAATTTTCGATTAAAATGAAAATAAAATTTTGTATCATTTTGTGTCTATTGTGAACCTAAATCCGATATTTTTTCTCATCTTTTATAGACATCATATGTTGTATTTTGAGCTGACGTACGTACGAGTAAATTAATTAAACTTGCACAAAAAAGCCCTTAATAACTACTA